ATACAAAACCTTTCACTTTTTTGTAAACTTTGCCCAAACATTTCATTTATACCATCACGTTACCAAACTTTTAAACAATTCGTACCCGGAGTCCAAATGGACGGTTTCCGTCTAGTTGACCTTGTTGACCAAGAATAATAGATTTTGACCAATTTTGACAAAATTAGGAGGGGTAAAATAGTAACTTGACAATTTTCTCATTAAATACATAAAAAAAAAAACTTGCAATCAGTTCTCCTTCCCGGCATCAACCGAGGATATTGAGGCCTATCCTCAATCCGTGAAGGGAGAGCACATCACTAGCTTATTATCCATCAAATATGTGTCTCCAAGCTCGACTCTTAGTATGCTCTTCTAGGTGCGATAACAACTATGGAGTCTAGAACTACCATGTACTTCTTATATTATCCATGCATTTTAGGAATTGATAAAGACACGAGAGCGTCCTTACATAACGACCGTGTCAGGCTAACAAGGTAATTAGCACCGCAGGGGAAGTTTTTTCATTCCCTTCCTTTCTCGGATATATTCCCAAAATATATGCACCTCGGTATGGTCCTGATGCATACAAGTATTTTCGTTGGAACGTTGATAACTGTCTATTATACCATTTAGCAAGCGAAAAAAAGTAAATTACGCCTGCAGTAAAAAGTTACTTATTGTGAAAGTAACTTTTATCCTACTGTCAAAATAAGTAATTTAATTACTGTCTTTCAAATTTTATAATGTCTTAAGTTTTAATTTTTCGAATTTAATTTCTGCCTAAGATTATTTTTGGCTGAAGGTGAAAGGCAAATGTGTTTCCTTCTTTCCTTGAAGGTCAACAATAACCTGAAAGCGACTTTGCCATTAAGAGTACAAAAAGAAATTCGTAGATGATTAATCCACATGTTTGGGAATTTTTGTACACATTTAAATTTATAAATAAATAAAATAAGTGATGAATAATTAAATAGTGCTTGTGGCTCTCATGAAATGCGTGGATAAAAAAATGATTTGACAGTTTATGAAAAAATTAGCCAAACATGGACTTATAAAAATAATTCTGGTAGTTGCTTGTATCATATGTGCACATCAAAATAACAATAGATCTATATGCTTTCTGGTAAAATTTTGGTTAAGTAGAGTGAAAAACTAGCTCATATGAAGATGCATAAAAAATCATAAAATTGTACTAGTATTAATAATATGGAATATATTAAAAGGAAAAAAAAATTTCTCATTCGACGTAATTCTCAATTCTATAAATCAAACAAGCCACAAGGGTATGTTTGGTGCTTAAAAAGTTTCAAAAATAAGATATTAGGCCACTTGAAGAGCTTTTCCACAATATTTATTCTAAAAAATTACATATTCATTGAATTCACTTTGTTAGATAAGTTTCAAATTTCTATTATTACATTCAAAATGGAACCAGTCAAAAGACTACATTACAAAGAAATAACTCTCTCTCTCTCTCTCTCTCTCTCTCTCATATCTTCATTTTTATTGTATTTCCCAAGCTTCTTGTTAACATCGCTGGAAGGGTTAGGTCGGAATCGTCAAACAAAAAGGTAACCTTCAATGTAACTGTTTATTTTTAACATCATTTCCATCTTTCTCTACATAGTATTTGTTTTTGCTAATATTGTTACTATCTAACACTTCAATTATTTTTCTACATGAGCATCAATAGAAACCTTACTAAAAAGTATAAACTATGAAAAGATCCGCACATGATTTATCCTTGATTTGTGGCATTACTTATGTGTATAATCATCTAGTGTCTACTAAAATAGATAAATAGTCAAGAAAAGTGGTGTAGCGTTATTAAATTTTTAACCTTCATTTGGAATTTTTTTTTATAAATGCTTCAATTTATAAATAGATATAAATGAGTACTTGCTGATCCACTGTATTGTAATGTTTAACGAATTTTTATAAATTTACCAATTGGAGACTTAGTTATTCTGGTCAGATTATTTCGGTGGCAGTTAGTTCTTCTTATATTGATCTACATGATTAGTCTACATGTTTGGGAGTTTACATGCATAAAAAAGAATTATGATTAAGTGAGTAATACTTGTGAATTTCATAAAATATGTGAATAAAAAGTGATTTGACAATTTATAAGAAAATCATAAACGTTAGCCAAACATTGAGCTAGAGAAGAAAGGTCCATCAAAATAACTCATAGATCTATGTGCTTTATGTGAAGTCTTGATTAGGAGAGTGAAAAACTTACTCAAATAAGATTAACAAGATCTGGACATTCATTATCAATTTATAACGTAAATTATGTATCG